AAACGGCTCCCTTTTAGGCCCAACAGCATGACAAATCGCTTCCATAACGGGGCGAAGCTTCTGGCCTTGTCTTCTTGCAAGACAAATGTGAGTTGTGACCTCAAATCAGCAACACAATTTTTCGGAGTCATGCCTTTTCGATGTGGGGAGGGGGGATTTTTCCTTTTGATACGAGCCGGTCTTCCAGTCGGTGCCGTTCAGCAGACTCAGGGCGCGCGCCCCGGCGAACATCCCACTCATGGACTCCACCCCGGTCAGGTAGCGTCCCAGGAGCGTCGGCTCCGGCAGCGAGTACAAGCGGATCGCGTCCTGGAAGAGCCCGGAGAACAGGTTTGGGCCCGAGGCACCCAGCGTGGTGGCCGAGTAGAGGACGTTGCGCCACCTCGTGATGTCCTGCAGAGCCACCGCCTCCTCCACCTCCGTCCGCGACGGCGTGGTCCAGCCCTCCAGCTTGCCGCGGATGATCACGTCGTAGATGCCGGCCTGCGAATACGCGTGCACGGCGCTGGTCTGGTACCAGGTTTGCGACCGCACCACGCGGCCGTACACCACAACTTCCATCCAGTCGATCTCGCGATTGGCGTCCGCCACGTCGCCGCTCAGCAGCTGCACCCACACGTACTGCCCCTGCGCGCCCTGGCAGTCCACGGTGACGAGGAAGTCGTTGGCCGAGGTACTGGCCAGCATGTCGGCCACGGTTTATGCATTGGAAAAGTATCATACTCGTAAGTCAATCAATCGTTCACGTCTAAGAGTAGGGCCGACGCGAGCAGGTTCTGCGTCTTTGGCCACAGTTCGGTTCCTTGCAAGCTGTTCTCGAAGAGGGGACTTCAAACTCGTAAAGAAACTGTGGCTAAAGTAAAGCTCCAGTATTATTCTCAAGTAAAACGAAAACAGGAACTAAAGTGGCTAGTGTAAACTAAAACTAAGAAGGAAAACTGTATTCGTAGAGGAAGTGCGAACTAAAAATATTTTTCTGAGACTTTACTTGTTGGCATTTGAAACTGTTTCAGACCTGTTTTGTTGTTGAGCTGAACTTTTTTTTTGTGGTTTGTTGCTGGCAGGTATGTGGCGTAAAAATGAGAGTATGCTTTGACTTGATCAAAGTATAAATGCATTTACAAATTTCCTCAGCATGAGAAATACAATTTGTAATGCTGATCTGCCTTGGGTAATGCATGACTGCACTACGAGTACGATAGATTTGCACAGGATACGGTCACGGTCGCGCAGACGGTGCCGGAGCAGCGGCTGGTTCCGCTGCACGGGAGATCGCTCACCCCCACTTGGTACCCGCATCCGTCGTCCGGTATGCTGCAGGTGCAGGCGGCGGAGCTGGCGTCCGATTCGCAATTGGCCGTCCTCTATCAAATGCAAACATGTCTGGGTCTGGAAGATTCATGTATGATTCCACCCGGTCATGCAAAGCCCGGACCTTCTGCTTCTCCCCTGGAAATAAGTAGCAACTCACGCCATATCACCCACTCCGAAGAGCAGGCGAACCGCCGAACTTCCCCTGAATGATCCGAACGCGGACCACAAAGAATGTCTGTTTTGCATGAACTCCGTCCAATATTAAAAGTTGCCCACTTATTGCTACGCAAATAAAAAGTACGGAGCTTCATCTCATGAGGCACAGGCATCACGAAGCCTGCGCAAAAACCTGGAGTGCTTCTGGGTGCAGCATTCCAGGTCGGCTGCGTGGTGTTGATCCGCAAGATGCAATAGACAAATCTGCAGCCCCAGACATCATATTTGCATTTGATATTGTTCCGGAGGTGACCAGGCGCCAGCGCGTGGAGGACGCGGGGTGTACGGTGACCAGCGTGAATTCCCGGGGACTCGGGAACTGGACCTGAAACCACATGTTTTTGCCGGGGGCCGACTTGCACGGGACTCCCGAGTTGATCGCCCCGTCCGTGCAACTACTCGCCCCGAAAGCGGCGGCCAGCTCGCTCCCCTGCGACGCTACGATGGCTCCGTCGGCCAGGTTTGTGTACGACAGCCTTTCCGAAGTGTACTTGGCCTGCGAGAATACGGCGTCGCTCAGAAGCGGCCCCTGGTCCAGGGGCAGCGCCGCGTCACTCCGGGGCGCTCCCGTCCGCGGAAGCACCGTCCCCGGGGAAAGACCCGCAACCGCCTGCAGCGCAGGTTTGGGCAAACCCGAATCCCCCCAGTAGACCGTAAATCCGTGGTCCCCCTGGTCCGTGAGCGGAATGCGCAGCGGCACGCCAACCATGTCGCTTTCGATTTGCACTTGGATCCGATATGGGTCATCCTCTGCGCACCCGACGTCCAGCGCCTGCGCGTTGAATGGGAGGTTGGTGCACTGCCCCGGCAGGCCTGCTCGGTATATCGTAAGGAAAAATCCCCCCTCCCCTCCATACTGAAAGCGTATAGATGCTGTCGGAAATTTGTGATGCCGATTTGTGGTCACAACTCGTGTCTGTCTTGCAAGAAGGCAAACCCAGAAGGCCCCCCGCATTATGCAGGCGGTTTGTGATGCTGTTGGGCCTACAGCATGGACTTTTGTCATGCCGAGCGCCTAGGCCAAAACCTGTCCACTCCGGCTTGATACGAGCCTGCAGTCCTCTATTGCAAGACAAGGCTGATTTGTGTACGCAAATCCAGCATCAGAAATTCCATTTTGATATGGGGAGGGGGGATTTTTCTCTTTGATACGGTACCCCCAGCCTTCCGAATCGACCACCGCAGTCAGGTCCCAACTGTGCAAGTTTGGCGTCGCGCACACTGCGTCGCGAAACATGTTCCTCAAGTTCGTCAATTTGTTGGACACCGCCCAGCTGCTGACGCAGGGGTGGGCTATCGTGGCTCCGTGGAACATGGAGGTGAAATCCTGCGCCGACCCCACCGCCCAACCCTTGACCCGCGGATTGAACGCGGCCGCGTTTGCGAAGGCGTAACTAAAATCCGTTACCTGGGATACGTCCCACGCTTCGTCTGTCCTGAGCAAAAACGGGGCCCACACCCCATAGTCAAGTTGGTAAATCTGCAACACAAATGATCTCCAGGCCTTGGGAGTTCTGCATGACAACATTCCATCTGCAGTGTAGTGGTGGTCTGCAAGGGAAGCTGCATGAGAAAGCCATTTTGATTTTCTCGTCTTGTTTTTTTACACCATTTTTACAAATGCCAAAACACTACTGGAAACACCTCTCATGGAGTTGGAGATGCGCATTGCATGACAACTCTGGGGTGGAGACGTTTTGGCACAGGATATCGACTGTGAAATCCAGGAGCGGACTGTCCTTGAACACGCCCTTCAGACTTTTCACTTTCGATATCGCAAGAAAAAAGCGCTACAGTTACACATTGTGTTGCAGGAGCCGCAAGACAGACAACCTTTGTCATGCAGGAGATGCTTGCGAGCCTCGTTTCCTACGTATTCTATTTTCCCTTATCCTTATGATCTTTGCGTTACAAGTTTTGTCTGCCACACAGAGAAAATTTGTGATGCAGAAACTCCATCAAATGTGTAACTGTAGCACTTTTTTCTCGTGATATTCGAGAGGTCCCAGTTGGCGATCGACGTTTCCGAGAAGGACGCGAGGCCGGTGGCCGCGGTGTCCAAGGAGGCGAGGCCTGCGAAGGTGTAAGCAAGATCAGTTACGTTGGACACTTTGGCGGCCCAGTTTCCCAGCCCCTGCAGGTGCACGAGGTATCAAAAGGAAAAATCCCCCCTCCACATATCAAAACGCAACTTCTGATGCTGGATTTGGAACCACAATCACAAATCAAATTTGTGTCGCAGTATAGGAATGCACGCAGGTCCTGAGACTCGGCGGGGGCCTTTTGGTGTAGGCGACTAGCATGGCAGACGGCTACCCTGCAGGCCTTACAGCATTACAAATCGCCTGCATAAGGTGGCGGACAGCCTCAGTGTGCCTTCTTGCAAGACAGACCCGATTTGTGGTCACCAAATTTTCTGACGGATGCGTTTTCCACATGGAGAGGGGGGATTTTTCCCCGCAATACGAGGGCCCGCGCGTTCTGGAACATCCGGCGCGCAGTGCGGATCATGGACACGTCGTAAGCGGAGACGTCCAGTTGTGTGAGCCCCTGGCAGTTTTCAAACATGGCCTCCGTGCTGCTGGCGGAGGACCAGAAGGGACCGAGGAGCTGCGTTAGCTGCGCGTCCGCCACTAGGCCCTGCGCCCCTTGGAACAAGAAGGGGAAGAGGTTCGCGCCGCTGGTCCCGAGCCCGCGCAGCCGCCGGAAGCTGTTCTTCCAAGCCCGCACCCGGCCAAAGTCGGACCCGGAACCCAGCTGCACCGCCGCGTCGTACCCGGCGGGCGCGATGCGGTGGAAAATGGCGGACGCATTCGCGGGATCGTAGTCTGCGGAGATTTCCATCAGGTCCTTCCATCGTGTGATCGCTCCGCGGATGACGACGGAGTAAGTTCCCGTCGATGCGTAAGTGTGGTTCTTCTGAATCTTTGCTGTTGCTGTCGTGCCGTTGCTACTAGTACCTTCAGCCACACCTCCTGGTCCGCCTAGGAGGCAGTTGTCAGCGCAGTGGACGTAGGGCTCCAGGTCTCCCTCTTCCGCCACCTCGCCGTCACCCCAGTGCACGGTGAAGCGTGTGGCAGCGTCATCCATGTAAACGGGGAGCGCCACGGTCAGATTGGTAGGGTCGGTGAGCTCGATGTCCACGCGAAAGGGGGAGTCGCCCGGACAGTTCGGGTCACCACCGTCCGTGGTCATGCGCCACAAATCATCACTACTGTCCGACCATCGCGCGTATGACGGTGGGCGCCCCCTTTCCCCCTCACTTGTATGGCGTGAACAGCAATGATACAAACACCAGCACACGTGGAGCCTATGCATGCCAAATCTATGTGCCTGATGTAGTACTGTTTGGGCTTCCGGAATTTGTTACTCAAACAGTGCCATCATCATCATCATCATCATCATCACGTAGTAGACACCCACACCCAGCGCCACAGGCCAAGGTGGATCCCCTCCCCGGGGGGTGGGCGACGAAGCACTTTCGACGGCGACCTCATCATACAAAAAAGGGCTTTGCAGTGCCACAGGGCAGCGAGAGCGACTGGAGTTGGGGTTTTGCGTGACAAATGAGGGGGAGGGGGAGTTGTGCACTGTCATAGCGCGCAGCTGCTTTTTACTGCAGTCTGAGCGAGCCACTGGCGGCTCGAGTTGACCCGGTGGAGATCCCAGCGGGCCACGTTGGGCGAGGCGCACGGAGCGTCCTTGAACATGCCGTCCATCAAAAGCCCGCTTGTACTCACTGACCACAAGGTCACGCACGGGTTCGCGCGCGCTGCGCCACGGAACATGTTGGAGGTATCCGTTACCTGATCCACCTGCCACAATCGCACGTCCGGGTCGGCACTGACCGCGCCGCGAAACATCGCAGACATGTCGGTCACATTGTCGACCTGCCACGCGCTCACGTGAGGGATGGCCTTGACCGCATCCGCGAACATTTGTCGCATGGTCCGCACGTTTCCGGTCTGCCAGT